GTGAGCAAATACGATCTGTTAAAAAGGGTCGTTTCTACCTACGTTATGGTTGAAGAATTTTTCTAATTAATTTTTGTTATATAGTACTTCTCTGATTTGCAGTATATCTATTTAATATATTTTATATATACAAGGTATAGCATATTTCATATTTCCTTATCAATAAACCATTTATCACATATATAGTTAATATCCACATAATATGTAAATACTTATTGTATGTTTATTCAAATATACAATATCTTTAAAAAATATATATTAAATATACAATAAAATAAATTTTAACTACATTTTTTAACAAATTATATTGTTGATAAATGACATGTGTCATTTTTTAAAAATTAATGGTACAAATTATATAACATACAGTTAATGCATAAATTAATGTATTATTAATCATAATACTAAAAGAATATGAAAAATATGAAGTATTTAATATATTTTAACAACATTATATATCCAAAACAAATTATTGAATATATATTTTTGATAGTTTTTAAAATCATTAAAACAATTTATGTTTCTTATTTAAGAGTGTTTTCTTATTTCTTGTTAATATCATAAGTTATTACTATAAAAAAAATAATTATACAAATATAAAAATAACAATTATTTGCTATTTTAAATTTTAAAAAGTTATAAGAAAAATTTATACAATAATATAATAAACTTTTAAACAATTTATTTATAAACTAATAATTATTTGATAATTTATTGCATTAAAACTTGATCCATTAAACTAGTGAGTTCTATACTATTTGAAAATGTGCAATCTAGTAGTCTAATTGTAACTGCAATACTATACTATTTTTAGCGAAATGATATATAACCGAAAGCTTTCATACTATATTATAGTAGTGTTGTGTACACTGAACATATACTATAGTATAGTCCAGTAGTAAACCATATGTGATTAGAGATATACTATATATTCAAATAAGAAAATAAGTTATAACGGCGGAGTCTTTCTAGTATTTCAATGATATGTTAAATTTTATCTTTATTTTTTTACTGATAGCAAATAGTTTTCACTCTATTTTTAACTAAGGATTTTTTGGTATATATTATAAAATATATAAGAAATATAATAGCTCATATATTGATATAGTTACTTTCCAAACTATAGGTATTTATATGGCTATATGAGCCAATTCTCCAAATTTGAAAGGTCAGAATTACTAAGCTACTACACCAATCCACATTCCACTTCTGCTTCTTTTTCTAACCACCATTTTGGATTTTTTTTTTGTAAAATCTAACAACATACACTGTACCTTATCTTTTAATTCCAAAACGGACTATACAATATCTCTCCACATTTAAAATAATACTTTTTAAGTTGATCTCTTAGTAACAAAATATTTAAACAAAGTAAACAAATAAAGAGCAAATGGAATGACAAGGCATGAAAAGGAGGAGAACATGGAATGAAGTTAATTAGTTAACACAACGTTGAACTATATAATATATGTAGAAATAACAATTACTAGCGTTGCCAATATGAAAGTATTGATTTTTTTTATAAACCGAATATGAAAGTATAGTTTAGAATTACGAAGGTTGAAGAAATATAATCTGGAGATGGTCAAAAGTTCATTCTTCACTCTTTTTTTATTTATACTAGATGAGTACCCGCGCGATGCGCAAATTTTTTTGTTTTAAAATATAATTTGTTAAAAAATTTAGTTATAATTTATTTTATTATATACTTTTTTATGAACAATAATAATATTTTTTGGCTTTGATTTTTAGTCGTCCTATTATTTTAACCTGATGATGCAACTTCTTTTGACTCTAGTTTATAAATATGTTATAATTACAGAAATATATTATTACATATTTTGACTATAAGAAAAAAGAATACTTATCAATTATTACATATTTTAGTATTTAATAAGAAACTTAATTTTTTAATAATAATTTATTATATATGAATTTTCCGTAAAATATTGTGTATTTGAATAAATATATAATACATATGTATATATTTTGTCGTTAATAACTATGTATGTGATAAATATTTTATCACCAGAAAATATAGATTATGTTATGCATTTATAAAGTATATATAAATTTAGTTAGCAAGTAATTAAAAGATAAATAATTAATTAATTTAATTCTGATTGCACTAAAATAATAAACTATTAATTATAAAATATAAAATGACAGATGTCACACTCAATTTTTGATGTGTATGGTTATTTTGTTGGGAAGCCATAAGAGGTTTTGCTTTTGATCTCTTACTACAAAATGACTAATAAGAACGTTTCCCTCACCATCTATTTATGCATTTGAAGTTTCATAATAAACTGAATAAGAAAAAAAAAATTCATAATAACCGCGTATAAAATATAATTGGTATCGGAAAAAAACTATTATTCATTAGCCTACCTAGCTTTTTTAGCAAAAAAAAAGAAAAAAAGAAAAAAACAAGATTGACCTTGCCAGTGGCAGCAACCTAAATAATAGTGTTATTATATATTGTCATTTTGTAAGATGATATGATGATATGTTTTTTTCTACACACGCATTAATGAAGTCGGATATTTTTGGAGGTCCAACCTATCAGTTATTCTCGACGGATTTTGAAAAAAATGGAATTGCAAAGTACCAGATTGAAAAAATATAATGAAACAATATGTTCCAGTTACAATTAAAAAAAAAATTAGAAAGATATAAGTTTTCTTGTGCTCTATTTATTGGCATATAATTTTGTTTTGAACCCGTTTGTGGTTAGAACATCTTTATTTATGTTACTTCAACAGGATTTTAAAAACAAGAATATAATAAAAATAAAAATATAGATATAAATAATAGATGGGTATCTCAAAACTTGAAATATTAATACAAAAGTATTATTTGACAACCTCCATAAAAATTCAAGTTTTAAAATATTTATCTATTATTATATTGATATTATTATTATGATACTAGGTGTACTGTCCATGCCATGTGCGGATCAAAGAATCTACTAATAAATTATTTGATTTTTTGTTTGTTACTTATAAAAGTAAATGATCAAGCTATAGTTGAATCACGTCATCACAAGAGAACTCATAAACGTTTGGAGTGTGCGAGATTTATTGTAAAGAAGTGCGGATAGTAGCGGTCCTATTAAACATTGATTCCGTATAGTCATATACCTCAGTTTATTTGAACACTCCTAAATAAGCTAAAAAAAGTAAAAAAAAAATCCAATAAAACATATTCCAAAACATGTGTATAATTTTTTTTAATTGTATTCCAAATCTCGCAGATAAACCAACTAAACACATAAAATCAGAAAAATCTAAATAAATAAAAATGCTAGATATTCTGAAACACTTCTTTATAAACAATGTTTATTGTTTGTTTTTTGGTTTTTGGTTTTTCTTTTTCATCAGCTATTAAGATCTTCAAACCAGACTGCACTGTTATCTTATAGACAACGTACATATAAACTGACCATGTGAAAACACCAGTATTGGTAAGAAAAGTCCAACTTTCTCTACCTCTGACTTTTGTTTATAGTCGTTGCGAAAGCAAGACTTATAAAAAAATTGTGGACGTCTCATTCTAAATGGGAACCTAGAACTTCAGGCGGTGAAACAAACATATTTGAGACCTTTTGGCCAACTCTATTTCCTGTAATAAACTTTGCCTCTATCACATATGCTGTCATTTGTGTTACAATTAATCTTGTACCATTATGCAGACCACCTCGAGGATCAATATTCCTAAGCAGCATAATAGGAATTCTAATTTTTAATCCACCACCTTGAGGATCAATGTTCATAAGCAACATAATAGGAATTCTAATTTTTAACCTTAGATCATGATTAGGAAGATTTGAAACTTTGATACTATTAAGGTATTCTTGAATATAATATCATTTTTGCTTATATTCGATATGTCGATACAATTAAGGTATTCTTTAAGTATAAACCATATCACCCGTGGTTAATTAGGTCGAACATATAATTCTCAAGATTTTATCCGAGTAAAACATATTATCCGAGTAAAACATATAAATATAGGCTTTTTCTCTCTCCTGATTGGGATCCACAACAACAAAATCTGCTTATGCTTATATTTCTTTTCAATCTCTACTAGTGCATCCTTTTACTTTCTCAAGACATGTCGATCTTCTATGTCTAGCAACCATTGAGTATACAACACATTCTTCACCATCTTCACCAGCTATGCTTTAGTTTGTAGATAGATACAAAGAGATATACAATGTTATTATCTCTTGTACCATATCAAGTCACAATGGACTAATCTGTACCTGCATGCTTTGATTCCAAAATCAATGATTTTTTATCAGTTTCCCTGCCTATCATCAAGAGCAAAAACCAGAATGAAGAAGTAGATAGGATCCGGAAACAAAAAAAAAGATATTTCTTATTCCTCTTCTAGACTTCTCTTTTTCTGCTTCATTACTACTTCTTTCGATTTATCATCAACATCACATCTTCACGTAAATATATTTTAATTTTATACATAAAGATCATAATTCTACCTTTTTCTTACTTCTGTTTCGAAAAAGATATAAAGAACAAAGTGAGAAAAAAAGACATTTAAAAAAACTTCAACAGAAAATAAATAAATAACATAATTGAAAACTATAGAACTAAATAGATGTCTCAGAGATTAGAAATGAGACCCTAAAATATATCACCAACAGAGTATCGGAAAGTCATCTTCTCTTCCAAGTTTACTACTAAATATGTTTATAGTTTAGAGAAGTCCTCTATGATATGAATATGAGACCGTCATCAAAATATGGACGAAAATGGCTTACCATTCCTCCTGAGTTGGGGCTTATCACAGAGATATCACCACTTCTGCTTATAGTTTGTAACTCCAGTTCTCTATCCTTCTCTGATCATGAAAAACCAGAGTTATTGATCATATGACAGCATAAACTTTTGAATGTTATGAGAATGGAGACGTGCAAACATCAATGGAATGAGAAAATTATGAAAGTTACACCAAAGTAAAGAATGAATTAATTGTCAAGATGTAAGTCTAAGTGATTGTTGAAGAATGCCAGTCTTGGGAGAAATCGAATCTGTCTTCTGCAAAGTACACATGTCTACGGCTCGAATGACCCTTAGTACATTGCAGTGATACAGTGAGATTGATGATTTTTTACTAAAGAAAATTTGGCTAAATATGATTACAAATAGAAAACTCACGAATTGGGAATGAGAGGATGATAAACTTACTTTTTCTCACTCCACCACTTTTGGAACACATATTCGATGTCTTGAGTCTTAATTATCATGAGCTCTTCTGCATTGTATTTATTTCTTTTTTCCCTGAAAAACATAACTGTATCAAAATTTACAAAACCAAGAGTAAGAGAATCCATGAGGTTAGCAATATATGTAAAAATTTGATATGATTAGCAATATATGTAAAATTTTGATATGATTACATTGGTTTATGAACTCCACCAACTGTTTTACTACGGATCATCTTAAAGTAAAACTCTCATATGGATTCTTGAATGCCGTCTTCTGCTTAAGTTTCTGTAAAAAATTAAGATTTTTGCTATTTTACAGAAATCAACAAATCCCTAAAAGAAAATGTGTCACAATATCTAATTAAAACAATCCATAAACATATTATGTTAAAGGTCTGAGGTGTCAACAACATATTATAAACAGAAAAATATACACGTTTAATGTTCTCATTTTGGTGGTAAGGTTTAACTCTAATAACATAACTGTTATGCTTCTCGAGGAGGCCAAACATTTTTCTCAAGGATGCCAAGCCTGACAGGTTTAAAAATCAAGACTTGAAAAGACACATTTGAAACAAAAACGAATGCAGAAGAAAGAAGAAAGAGCAATAACAGCTTACAGTAGAAATCGCTCCTTATGAGCTGGCTGTGGAACAACATTACGCAGCAACAACATGTTTGACGGCTCTAACTCTGCAAGTACAATCAGAAAGCTGTATAATCGAACATAGTTTTTAAACATGAACCTTTAAACATAAGGATATTATAAACTAAAAAAAGAGAAAAAAAGAGGACATAATTTAAAAACTGAATATATATTTTTTATATCTTTTTTTATCATCTCGATGATGGTAAAAAGATCATTGGAAACTATAGAACTAAAGTGATGTCTTGGAGATTAGAAACCCTAAAGAAAACATCAAGCACAGAGCGAAAGGAAGAGCTCAGCTACAAATAATGAAACTATCGAAAACAATAGTTTCTCGTTAGGTACCTGTTGGTCGATAGGAGCGCAGAAACCATGCAGCTGAACAAAAAGTTCAGATTACCAAATTTCCACCGGGACTCAAAAACGGCAAAAGCAATAACAAAAAAAAAAAATCAAATACGAAAATCCAATAGAATAATTATGGAATATAGAACGAATCTTGTTCAGATCGATCAACAAAGGATTACAGACCAGAAGAAAAATAATAAATAACCCACGAAGAAGACACTAAGACTATAGAGAAATAATATTAACTCTTTAATATTGTGGGTTATGTAATCGATATATGTGTATCAACTCTTCTGAACTTGATTAATGATTGTAATATATTTATACAGAGAGATAAGGTTTCGATTTGTTGTGGCCTCCCTTTTGGGCATGTGATATCCTCCATCGAATTCGCCAGCTATGGAACTCCAAGAGGTAGCTGTGAGAAGTTTTCTACCGGGAAATGCCATGCAGCCAAATCGTTATCAATCGTCTCTGAGGTAAAACTTTTGAGTTACCTATTGTGAAAGTCTGAAAGATGACTTGTGTGGACTATCTGAAAAAGTCATTGTTCTCTTCTGCAGGCTTGTCAAGGACGTAACAGCTGCTTCATCGAAGTGTCAAATGCTGCATTTCGCAGTGACCCATGTAGCGGAACTTTAAAGACGTTAGCGGTTATGGCACAATGTTTGCCCAGGCCCGGCTCTAAGGGACAGGATCCACTCATTTTTCATTAATTTTCTATGCATTTTAGGATTCTCAGATTTATAGAATTGTATAATTAAGTGTCCAAATTTTCAGATTTACAGCTAATTTTTAAGTTTTTTAAAAAAATTGATGCATGATCCAACATTTGTTTGGGCCGGGCCTGTGTTTGCCGTCTCAGGACGCGAGTTACTTCGGTTCTCACACAGCGTGAAGCGGCTCAGGATGATGAACAACTGTCTTTCTTGTCTTCTAATGATTATAGTAAGAAGAACATGCCTCATCACAAAGCTTTTCACTTTGATCTTTTATCTTCTAAAGACTGAACAATTGGGTTTTATCTTGCTTATTCATATCGTTGTATCCAGTCTCTACTTGAAACCAGTAAACTTGAAACCATCTTTAATGTTTGTGCTTGTACAGTTTGTTGTTTGAGAATGTCCAACAACACTTGAAGTTGGTGTAATGACTCAGATCTCCATCGTTTCAAATCCAAATATTTAAGTTTGTCTCTGCGTTACACATTATATATACTCTATATATTCACTTTTAAAAGAATATTAAAAACAACTATATATTTTTGGGGGTATAATTATAAGGTTAAATTTAGGAGTTGGTTTTGTAAATTATAGAAATGTATTCAGGCCAGGGCCTACAAAATACAAATGTATATAATTAGATCTTGCTCCCACTTGGATATAATTAGTACCATATTTCCACAAATTCAAATAATAATATGCCTTTTTGTGTAACTTTAGATATGTGAATCTACTAATACATGTTAATATCTTTCTTACACAGAAAAAAAAATATTAGCAAAATATGTAAGACTACTGTAAAATAATTATAAAGTAGAAAATTGAGACTTCCCTTGAAAAAAATCCTATAAATACAATTCTTCATGAAGAACTAGAAAAATTATAGAATATAATTTCTTCTACAAAAATTAAAACTATACATAATGGATATCACAAAAGCTTTTATAACTCTTTTCTTCTAATGATATTTGCAATTTTGTTGTCTGATTACAATGTTTCGGCTGTGTCGGTTGTGCTGTTTCTTACAAAATATGCTTTTTTGTTTGTTTTATATTTCAATCGTTTAAATTTTCAAATGTAGAATTAGTAATAACAAATTGTATGATGTGTATAAATGTGTTATATGTATATATATATGATTTTGAGATTTTTGACAAGAAGAAAAACCGTTATTCAAACATGTGAATAATATATTATACTATCAATGTTGAATTGTATATGTGCAGTGATCAAACAAGAAAATTAATTGTACTGTGTATTTATACATGTGGGGTAGGGGGGAATACATGGTGAAGATGCAAGAACTGACATTTCTATACTGGAATATGTACTTATGGTTAATGCTGTTGCACCGATGATCTTTGTTCATACTCTTAATATTTGTCGAAATGGATTTGAGATTTTAGAAAATGAACTTTTTTAATAGTGTTGCTTTTACAATTTCTTGGTAATGAATTAAATACATTTTTAAAAAAATATTGAATAAAATGTTAAATTTATTCAAAAAAAAAAATACATCAAATGCAACTGTTTTTTTCTATGCTACTTCAAAATTCGAAATAAGAACCTAACACAATTTAGTCACGAGCGTCAAACTATTTGACGAGTGAATCTATATATCTTGTATTTATTTTTGGAATCAAAGAGGTCTTGTTTCGGATGGCTTTGTTGATAAATTGAATTATGCAATTGTTCTTCTCGCTCTAAATATGAGCGATCGTCGCTTGAAAAACAAAACTTAATAGAAACGCCTTGATATGCGGTGTGTTTGAACTCTGAAATCAGTTGAACATACTTTTGTTGGAGTAAGGACCCGTCCCAAGAGGAAGTTTGTATGCCTTGATTGATGAGAACGCCTGCGGCTGGTCCTATTTTTGGAATCAACATAGGTATTCTTGAGCTCAGGAGAACTCTTTGGAAACTAAAGACGAGCAGAAAAGAATCAACATCTGACAAGTCGCGCTTCAGCATCAAAAAGAGCAAAGTTCTCATTGACCATTTTGACAAAGTCTGACGAAGATGGAAGAGCTGGTCAGAAGAGAGATATGAGCAAGGTTCACTTAAAAGGTGAAAGGAAAAGAGGTTTCTCATAGAAGTGGGAAGAGGCAAAAGGGTATTGAGGACTTCCAGGCTGAAAACAAAAAGCGAAGAAAACCGGAGGTCAAGGTTGCAATTAAATCTTGTCTCAAGCTGTGCATCAAAGGGACGTCTATTTAATAGGGAAGACAATACGACACCTCCCGATCTAGGAAACTGGTGAAGGCTAGTTTGCGAGAAGTAAGTGATGCAACACTATTTTCCATGCGGCGAGTGAACCAAAATTGCCACAAATCAAACCATGCCAAAAGACAGAGAGTACTGGGAAAGCTATAGCAGAATCTCTTCCGGGCAAGAGAAATCATTCCGACTGAGCATGCCACGACACTCGACCCGAAAGATAGCATAGAATCAGCAAAAAAATTTGGAGCGTCGCCGAGAATCATCTTCAACCCAAACAGGTCATAACACAACGGTGTAAATCTCTAAACTTCACAACAGTGGCTACCCTACTAAGTCAGTCTTTGTTAACAGGGGCAATCATGGTGGGCCAATCGGTCCTCTCTTCCCCTGTGCATGTTTATTTCATTCTTTGCTTAATTGAATGCTTCCATGATTGTTTGATTTTTTGGTTGCATAATTATCTGATTTCTTGCCTGCATACTTATTTGATTGTTTTTTGAATGTTCGCGTGCCTGGTTTGGCTCGCAGCTCTTAATTGTACCCACATTTACTTATCATTTTAACAAATCTGTCACTTATTCTCGCTTGCATTATCTCACCTTCTAGGGGCATCATACTTACAAATCAACTTTCTATCAAAACCCTTTGTCCGAATTTCAGACAGCATGCTTCCATGTGGACTTGCCTGTCCTCCGAACACCATCCCTCCAGGAATTGGGACTCTGGTCCCGCAGACCTCCGGGGTCTTCTTTGCCAGCTCTCTCCAGAGACCGCACGACCTATTAACATGCTTCTTCCGGAGCACCACCGGGAATTGAGATCTCCTTTTCCAAGAGCTTTTCTTCCCAAACACTATGATCTCTCTCTTTGGGGAAGATCAATTCACGATTCTAAAAAACATCAAACTTTCTGAAAGACTGTTTCAGCAGTAAGGAAGTCGGGGTAACGCCTCCAGTAAATGTCATGTTTTGCCACTAGCTAGCACGCACATGCTGCACAAAAACGATAGTTCCCCCTCGTGTTAGCGATCCACATACGGAGAGAATCCTTTCTCCCTCTCAAAGCGCTATATGTGGTTCTTGAGCAGGTATCTCAAACAGTGTCGTTGTCTTATGTCGATTTCCATAGTTATATAAGGCTTTAACTTCCTCATAAAGCCAATGGGAAAGAAAGAAGGCTCCATGCTTAGTGCCTTACAAATTAAGGAGTAAAATTCCTTCGAGGAGAAGCTCCCTCATGAGCAATTAATTGTTTCTCCAGAAACCTAACTTCCTCGTATCCAGGACAATCGTGTACTTCTAGGATGCATGTACAAGCTGGAGTAGGACCCATCTAACTGTTTTTCTGGAAACCTAACACTTTCTCACTTCAGCTAAACTCGTACTCTCCCGGGATGGGCTGCAAGGTCGAAGATGGATCGCTCTAACGCGGTATTGCACTTGCCAAAACCTTCGGATATCAGAGAAAGGAATCTTAGAATATTTTGTAGGAACGACGAAAGGATAGACTCCTTAACTCATTTGCAATCAGTCAAGAAGTCGAGGACAATTGTTGGGCCCACTTTTACCACGTCATATCAGCGAAAAACACGTTAGAAGTAGGCCCGACCAAAATGATGAACTCGGTGTCTAGGCCTACCAATGACTCTCTAGCCAACTAATCCCAGGCAGTTAGCGAGTTTTCCACCGCGTGGACGTGCCACTGTAGCCTACCTGCTCCCTTTGAATGCCTCTCGGATGGGACATGTCAGAGAGAAGGTGTATAAAGAGGGAGAAGCGGTCAACAGAAATATGGGGATCTGATCGGCTAGGCATCCAAAGGAGATAAAATCCGAGATGAGGAGATCTAGAGGAGAGGAGAGCATAAAGCTAAAGAGAAAAGATGGTTCAAACTGTAAAAGTCTTGCCGGAATCGAACCGGACAGCCAAACCAAGTAGCACGACTGAAGGGGAGGTCGCCAACGCTCCCTGAAAAGAATGCCAACCGAGAATAGCATTATCTTCCTCTCTAACTCTTTATTTTATTCACCGTCAAGAGACAGCTTTCACCCCACTCTCTCAATGGTTTATCTTATCATACACTCTCTTTGTGTCAAATAGCAAACGGATATCACGATATTTGAACAGGATATCCAAACCATAAACCACCACCAAACATTCACCCTCTTGAATATCTGTTCTAAGAAGGGTGCAGTATTTATTTTTTAATTAATTTTACATTTTAACTACTATTCTTATAGCTAAATATTATTTTAGGCAATAACAAATCATGCTACAAAAATATATTCAATATTAATAATTAAAAAAGAAAATAGATAAATATTATTTTATATATAATATTATATCATATATTTCTTAACTGTAAATTAAATATGTCTGAATATAACATGATTAAATAACTAGTGTAGTTCAAAAATATATAAATTTCATATTATAAAATTACAAACATATTTCAATATACCTGAAATACATAAATATATATATATATATATATTTAATTAAAACAAAATGACATAATTATAACAGCTGTATATATATAATAACTAACAAATCTTTGACTTTGACTGTATTTTACCATATTTCCATAAATTTTCATCAAATAATATATAATAAAGTAAAATGCAAATACTAATTTGCTTTTTTGTCTAACTCCATATACGTATGCGAATCTACTAATATATGTTAAATTTTTTCTTACCTAAAATTAATGAAAGCTTTAATTACAATGAAATAAATATAGAGTAAAAAAAACTGAGACTTTAGTTGAATAAAAGTCCTATAAATACAATTCTTCATGAAGAACTAAAACATTGTAGAATATAATTTTTTCTCAGTACATCTAATACTAAAAATCATACATAATGGAT